ATTTTTTTGGTGCGGGTTGTCATAATTGTAATGGAAACAGTAATTGTAATAACAGTGGTAGTGGTGGTGGATCAATAATTTTAATTATTATAATAATATTAGCAGTTATTGGATTAGCTATTGGAATTATCCTAGGTGGAATTCTATTAAGTAAAATAATAAAACGTCATACAAATAAATTATGGTTAAGACAAGAAACTAAAAAATATGTTGTCAAAGATTTTCAAGGAAAAAGACATGAATTAAAGAATATATCAACTCGACAATCTAGTACAGGATTATCAATACGAAATCCAATGGCCGATAATAATACGAACATAACACCATCAGCGCCAGTTAAAGAAGCTGAAACACGTTTCTAATTACATTGCATATACAGTTTACTTGTAAACCACTCGACAAATGAATTGTTTGACGATGTGGGTGTGTGGGTGTGAGTGTTGGAGTCATCTCTTAACCCAAACCCACACTTATTTCCTCGCCTTCTTGTATTTTGTTTGTTACATAAATATGGTAAAACGAAGTTTTTCTTCAATGAGTCATATTTAGTAGTAACTGAACGATAAGAGTGACTTGATCTAAGTGAATGAGTGAGATACGCTATTGCTATTTCTTTCATCTCTCATATCAGGAATCAACCATCAATAATTTTTCATTTTAAAAATGCATGTTTTTTTTGAATTACCTCTAGAAACAGCTCTTCTTCGAATGGTTTAACTACTTATGTAGACAAGTAACGTCCTCTGTCAAAACAAGATAAGAATACTTTGACAACCCTAGTGAAGGTACCCATAGACGAATACTCATAGGTTTTGAGTACTCAACAGCCGTACTCATACTAGCATCTGAGTATCTGAGTACGACGATCGAGTACTCGCTGTGTAGTATTAAGTGTTTTGTGAGTACTTCTATCTAGTTTCTGTGTACTCTGCTGGCCTATATAAAATACTCATAAGCATATCTTTTGGTTAGTACCGTTGTACTACATCAATCTTTATTTAACATTATAATATTACAAAAACCACAATCATACACAATGAAAATTTGAGTAAAATGGTCGCATGAGAACTACAACTTTGATATGAGCTTCATATATTTTAGCGTAAAGAATATGACCATAGCAATCTTCATCATTAGTGAAGAAAGTTAAATTTTTCCTTTGTTTTTCTACAATAAAAATACGATTTCATTGATTCTTTTCTTTCCTCTTTCAAAAGATAAATAAAATCGTATTTCATTATGTAAAAAAAAAAGAAAATAGTTAATTATTTTCTCTAATAATGAAAATTTCTTTACCTATATCTTGAATACCGAGTACAATAAAACACGAATTAAGGACAGTAAAATACAGTGAAGGCGAAAAAAAATAAATTAATCACTGATAATGAGAAATGTGATAGTAAATAAACGTACAGTATTGCTTGTTATACAAAAAACTTAAACAGATATTTTCACATTCGTAACTATCTGCATTTATGTGGGAATCTACAAAAAAATAAATACAGAATAAAATTGTTTGTCGGTAGTGTATTCATGCATCTTCTTGTTTTAAAGTTGCGATAGATTTATAATAAAAGTCATTAGTCGTCTTCCTTTTCATAGCATTTGATAGTCAGTCTGAAAAACTATATTTTAACGGAAGATTTTTTATCTAAATTTACGAAATAAAATTAAAGCAAATCTACATTCATACGTTTAAAAAAACTCAATCTCACCTAAGTTAACAAATGAAAACGAAAAATCGTTTTTTCTCTTTCTTAACATTACCATTTATCTTAGTCGTATAGATGACTCATCAAAATGAATAGAGGATCTCGTAAATAAGTCAATAAAACAATTTTTCTCGGGCTTTCATTTTACTGCATCATTTTCTTTTACTATATAATTTCAATTTATTTTTCTATATACTAGTGCATAAGTGTTTTATTAAACGGTCTGCGAAAAACGACTATGAGTACTACACTGAGTGCTGATATATCTGCCTACGAGTAAATCTCTAAAGAAAAACTTGTACGAGTACTCGTTAGAGTACACGAAGAGTATGCATACACATCAAATTCCTCGAGTACTCGTGCGAGTAATATCAGTACTCACGCTGGAAAGTCGTACTCGCTTGATGAGTATTTCCATTAGGGAAACTTCAATTATCTTTATCGATCTCTACATCACTTTCAATGCATTTTCTTTTTTATTTCCCATATACAAAGAAGAATGAATATAAATCTATCAATGATTTTCATTTAGTAATGTTATACGGATAGTATTATGAAGAATATTAACTCATCGAATCGTTCACCATAATGACAAAGTGCTAATGACGATCACATAGCATCGGTGAGAGTAGATTGAACTAGATTTATTAGTCGATACTTGTGACTAACATCCAATTACAGCAAGTAAATTTACCCAAAAATTATTTCGTAATTTATTCATAAATAACTTTCAAATTCAGACGACTATATCAACATGATTCGACTTGAAATAAAGAAAATAAATATTTAGAATTTATTCAATACTTGTCCACATGATGAACAAAAATAAGTCATATGATCTTGTCTGGAAGCACCACATTGAGAATAAAACCGAGCGACACATAGATCAGCATAAGGTAGAGGAGGATCATTATTTAGTCGCCTAAAAACTACTGCTGGTTCAGAAGCAACTCGATTTGAATAATATGCTCTACTTCCATTGGATGGAAAGACAGCGCGACCAATATCAATTACTTACTGAAAAAAAAGAAAACGACGTTAAAACAAAGATATACAATATCAATAAAAATTTGATCAAACTATATTTCATTTTTATTGTCAATAGATGATGTATTTATCGTTCTTTTTATTGAATACCGAACTGCTTTTATTAGACTTAATGGTATCATGGAATAGTTCTCAATACAACCAGAATGTTTCAAAAAAAAATACAATTAAATTTCTTTCAAATCATTGTTTATTTTAACTAATTATAATTGATCTATTTATAAGAAAAATGTATATACTAGACAGACAATAGTACCTACATGATAAGCTGCTTCAGCATTATAATTTTCATATGCATCAAGCCAACAATTAGATGTATCTAATCTCCATCTACATGGTATTGGGTGTGGGTGTGGGTGTTCTTCTGATTTACCATCACATCAGAACAAACAGTCACACCCACACCCACCCACACCCACACCCACCCACACCCACCCCCCACACCCACCCCCATCCACACCCCACACCCACACCCACCCACCCCCCCACACCCACACCCACCCACACTCACACCCACACCCCACACACCCCACCCACACCCTTGTTTCTGTATTTATTTGATTGCTATGTTCTTGACTCGATGCTGTAATACTGTGAAAGCGTGTATTGATATGAAATTACGTGTGAAACTCGAAAATTTCGTTTCTATATTACTTTGATTTCTTCGATTAAGTTCAAGCGATGAACTTGTTTTGATGTAATTTTTCTGTCATCCAATTAATTTTTTTATCATTTCTGTTTTTTCTAAATTGTGAAGACGCTCAGGAGCGCGGCTGATCTGAGTGGGAGGGTGTGCCGATATATGTGTCACGGCTCGCTGCTCTTCTTTCCTCTTCGTCTCTCTATTGTTGTCTCTGCATCGTCTCTTTTTCTCTCTCTCTCTCTCTTTGTTTCTCTGTCATATATAAGTGTGTGTTGAATATGTAATAGACACATTCTGGAGATGTGAAGTAGCTAATAAACATCATTATCGAGGATGGAGGTAAGATACTTCTCCAGTCTGTCATTACATCATCTCTCCTTTTATTGTTACATCAACCACCTGGCGGGCCCGTGGCTCAGTGGTAGAGCGCTTGCCTTGCAAGCAAGAGAT